AATTACATAGGAGTGTTTTGGATCTATGGCGACAAGAGGAAATAAGTTCGTTGCGTTTATTGAGGGATGATTTGGATGGTTGGTACAGGATGAAGAATTTTTCTTTGAGGCAAAGATTGCATCTTTTACTGGTGCTGTTGTATGGTTTGCTGTGTGTAATGATGTTCCATGAGATGTCGTGGTCGATATTGCTGTCTTTAAGGGTCCAAATGTGTTTACTGAGCTCGGTCGAGTTTCGTAGTTTTGTGGCGGAAAGAGGCAGTGTGATTTCTATGTCTAGTCTTAAATTCGTTTTCTGTAAGTCCAATGTACGTCTCAGTTGTGTTATTGTCTTTGCGTTTTACAGTAGCTTGGTAAACAACGGATGACTGCAGGCAATTTCCGTTAAGTGGGCAGTTTTGTTTTGTCGGCAGTTGCATGTTTTGTAAGTGTCTTTTGTTCGCGGTGTTGTCGTTAGTTTTGTCTGATGTTCTCAGTATATGTTTGTTATGGTTGTTGATCATTTGTTCGATATTGTTCATGCAGCTGTAGCTGAGTTTGATGGTGTTACGGTTGAATATTTTCCTGAGTTTATGGTCTATGGGAAGTGTTTGTCGATTAATGAAAGGAATTTGTGGCCGATGTTCGTGTAGACGTTTTGCTGAATGGAGGGTTGTACCAAAGTATATTTTGTCGAAGTCTGTTTTTCCGTTTGGTAGTAGCGTTTGAGTCGAATTTTAGTGTATCGGTATCCGTTTTCGTCGAGTGCTTTTGGTATGGTGCAGTTATTTGGTCAAATGATGCTTTGTCGGATGATAGTGAAGATAGACGTTTGTTGATGGCGTCGGGTATGTTCTTCGTTATGGTTGGTGGATGGTTGCTTTCGCTGTGGACGTATTGCAGAGAAGAGTTAGGTTTTGTGTAAGGGCGATATGAAAAATTGTTAAGATTGAAGGTGATGTCGAGGAAGTTGATGATTTTTTTGTTTGCTTCAATAGTTATGCGTAGTCCATTGTTGTTGAATATCCGGCATATTTCCTTTTTAATGTTCTCTGTTTCTCGTGGTGTGGTGTTTGAAATGGCAAGTCCGTCGTCTCGATAAAGTCCTATGTCTGTTGTGATGTTTTGTAGTTGAGAAAGGAGGTAGCTTCCTACGAGTTCGCATGTCTCAGCTCCGTCGAAGCTACCCATTGTGACGTCGAATGTAGAGCACTCTACGATAATCCGCAATGGAGAAATTCAACTTCAACTACAGCATCAAGAACATTCCTCTACCATCACCGAATGTATACTTACAACGACTTATTGAAAAATCTGAGACCTTCCTTCGTAATATGCGCTGGAAAGCTTACTTCTTCCTCAACCCGAATGCTACCACCGATTATAAAGATACCTATGGCTTCAAGAGTACTAAAAACCCTCCACCGATCGACGACCTAAAAGATTTCGAGAAAGACATGACGAAAATGATACAATCGATAAAGTTTAAAGACGTGAACAGCACATTCCTTAACAAAATGAAAGACCACACCACTACCATGAAACACGAAACGAAGCTTCTAATCGCTGCCGACAAAACAACAAATTTCTACAAACTAGACAAGCCAGCATACTACGACCTCCTTGAACAAAACATCACAAAATCATACAAGAAATCGAACGCCGACACAATAAAAGCCATCCACACCGAAGACAAAACATCACATCACGACTTGGTATATCTGACAGAGTAGAAGCCACTGCCCATAAAAATGCATTCATAACACTCAAAGACCATAAACCAAACTTTACGAATAAACCAACCTGCCGACTTATCAACCCAACAAAATCTGAAGTTGGTAAAATTAGCAAGAAAATACTGGACAGAATTAACAGCAACATCATAAAAACAACCTCATACAACCAATGGAAAAACTCATCATCTGTGATCCAGTGGTTCAAATCTATCAAACACAAAAAAAACGTCACCTTTATATCCTTCGACATCGTAGACTTTTATCCATCCATTAATCAAGACCTACTAAACAAAGCACTGGATTTTGCCTCAACCTACGACAACATCACAAACAACGAAAAAAACATCATTATACACGCTAAGAATTCATTCCTTATACACAACAAACAACCCTGGCAAAAAAAACATAACTCTACATTCGACGTCACAATGGGTAGCTTCGACGGAGCTGAGACATGCGAACTCGTAGGAAGCTACCTCCTTTCTCAACTACAAAACATCACAACAGACATAGGACTTTATCGAGACGACGGACTTGCCATTTCAAACACCACACCACGAGAAACAGAGAACATTAAAAAGGAAATATGCCGGATATTCAACAACAATGGACTACGCATAACTATTGAAGCAAACAAAAAAATCATCAACTTCCTCGACATCACCTTCAATCTTAACAATTTTTCATATCGCCCTTACACAAAACCTAACTCTTCTCTGCAATACGTCCACAGCGAAAGCAACCATCCACCAACCATAACGAAGAACATACCCGACGCCATCAACAAACGTCTATCTTCACTATCATCCGACAAAGCATCATTTGACCAAATAACTGCACCATACCAAAAAGCACTCGACGAAAACGGATACCGATACACACTAAAATTCGACTCAAACGCTACTACCAAACGGAAAAACAGACTTCGACAAAATATACTTTGGTACAACCCTCCATTCAGCAAAAACGTCTACACGAACATCGGCCACAAATTCCTTTCATTAATCGACAAACACTTCCCCATAGACCATAAACTCAGGAAAATATTCAACCGTAACACCATCAAACTCAGCTACAGCTGCATGAACAATATCGAACAAATGATCAACAACCATAACAAACATATACTGAGAACATCAGACAAAACTAACGACAACACCGCGAACAAAAAGACACTTACAAAAACATGCAACTGCCGACAAAAACAAAACTGCCCACTTAACGGAAATTGCCTGCAGTCATCCGTTGTTTACCAAGCTACTGTAAAACGCAAAGACAATAACACAACTGAGACGTACATTGGACTTACAGAAAACGAATTTAAGACTAGACATAGAAATCACACTGCCTCTTTCCGCCACAAAAAACTACGAAACTCGACCGAGCTCAGTAAACACATTTGGACCCTTAAAGACAGCAATATCGACCACGACATCTCATGGAACATCATTACACACAGCAAACCATACAACAGCACCAGTAAAAGATGCAATCTTTGCCTCAAAGAAAAATTCTTCATCCTGTACCAACCATCCAAATCATCCCTCAATAAACGCAACGAACTTATTTCCTCTTGTCGCCATAGATCCAAAACACTCCTATGTAATTTGTAACCATACACCGTAATTAATACTTTAACTTCCGCCATCTAACTTGAAACTATACACCTTGATTAATACACTAGCTTCCGTCATCATCTTGTATATATATTTAAGCATTTAAGTATTTTATTCATTAAATCCCCTGAAGAGTGAGCAATCACGAAACAGGCTTGTCGGGATGAAATTGTAGTTTTTGTGTATTTTCTTCTTCTTACCAATATTTACGCTCTGCTCTCGGGCATCGAGCACTGTTTTATACGGAAAATCATAAATTATAAACTACCTATATATATATATATATATAAGTGCTGAGTCAGCATTTTAAAAGTATTGTATGCACAATATTTGGGAAAGTATTGCCCAAAAGAAAAAGTTGTGATATAGTTTTTCTATCATCTTTAGCGGTTGTTTAAGAATATACTGGGAAATTGCAGATTTCTTTGAACTTTACATTTTTTAAAACCGACGACGTCATTAAACACGACAGGCTGGCCCTATATCAAAATTTTGTGTTTCTAGGCATAGTAAGTTTCATACTTGTATCATCAAAGTGAAGAGTTAGGTAGTTTTTTATAATCAACAGCTAAATACTAATACATTCCTCGATTCGTGTGCAATGTTTGCCACGCACGTGATTATGCGTGGCTTTCATGTGTGTTTTGTCTTAATTTTATATTTTAAAAAGATAGGAAACTCTCAATACAAAAATACCGACCCATTAACACAAGCACTTTCACAAAACCGTAAATGTCTCATAAGTAAGTAAAAAACATGAAACACAAATACATGTCATTAATATCAAATAATGTAACTATATTTTTGCAGTTTTTCAAATGTATTTCTTTGCTTAAGAAAAACGCAAATGTTTTTAGGGTTTGAGCATGGCAATATTTATCAAAACCTATGCTTTTTGCTCACCTATCTAAACATTCCGCAAATTTTTGAATGCTCAAAGGCGTCGCAGATTTATTGAGATTTCAAACATATGGCTTTTGCTCACTGTTCAGTCGAATGTCCCCCTTCTGTCATAACCCTATTTGCATTTGCCGAGCGTTTTTGCTTAGAGTACACGTCACGTGACTCTTCTCACTTGCTCAAATCGTGGAAGCAGTGGTCCTTAAAATTTCTGAAGAGTTTCAACGAAAAGTTGTTTGTCATTGTATTTGAAAACCGTTTTTACTAAGACTGCTTTTTCACCAACGTTTTATCGACTAATATGTCTGTATGAGATAACGTTCATGGAACCGATAATTTAAGTCACATATGACTTGTATCACTGTAATGTAGCCAGTCAGCATACTCTGGTCGTTCTATGTAAATTTCAGAATATCATTATGCATTTCTTTAGAAGTCTATTGTTTTTAAAGTGAGTGAAGACAGAAAAATTGAATTGCAGGACTGAATTTGGTTTCGCCACTTACATTGAATGTAATTATATTCATATGTACAATACCATAATCTATTTTTGCTATATCTACCACGATTTTTTGTGGATTGCAAAATTTAATGTTTGTCCAAAGTGTGCTAAATACAACTATACAACTACAAAATTCGCTCAACTAATGAAATTTAACCAAGATGTTTGCGATCGCTTACAAAGCTAGCGCTTGTATATATTGATATCTTCTTTTGTTTTGTAGGAATGTCCGATCATGCGCACAAAATAAACAATTTTTTTTTATAGAAATTGTTCATGCTAGCTGCATGCAATTCGAACATATGTATGGAGATCAATGAGATGGATGGAAGACGGTCGGTCGGTGTTCTGCTTTTTTCAGTAACACATGTAGTTTTATAGCCTGCGCACAGGTAGGTAATGAACAATAACTGCAAGAAATGCACCCCAAAGTACAGGAAATGGCATTTTAGAGCTTCTCAATAAAAAATTTTTCCTGCGAGCATTTGCCCCCGGACTCCCCAAACATGACTTGCACCTTAGGTTCTCGGCTCAGGCTTTGGGCGCCGTTTTTAAAGTGTACATACATAGAGCCATTTTCTGTAGTAGCTGACTGCTTCCCCTCTTGGAGTGTTCCTAGCACGCAACTGATCCCCCCTATATTAAACAAAACTATTCAAAATACTTGTTAATCCAACAGAAACCGAGGAATGTATTAACAATAGACTACACAGCTTGAACCGTTCGTCGGAGCGAGATATAATTGATTTTTTATCTCTTGCGAGCACTTATCTGAATAATATCTTGACTTCTTGTTACGGATCTTTTTATAGCTTTTTTATGAAGTTTGTGAAGAGTAAGATTTTTAATAATTATTATTTCTGAAGACTATTCTTTCAGATGATTCCTAGCCGATTGCAATTTACTTCTACTTGATCTTCCGTTTTCCGGTGTACGAACGCACAAATGAGCAATGAAGACATCAAATTGACAAACAAGCTAACATATAGCAAGCTTATACAAACTTTAATGTTAACAAACAATAAGCCCTTAATAACCGAGTGCAAGCTCTTTACGGAGAAATATCGGACTGAAGTTTTTCATACAGATCGAGCACGTAGGGCGAGGTTTGTACAAAAAGACAGAGGTCCGATATTTCTCAGTAAAGATCGAGAAAGGGAGGTTATTAAAAGGATTATTATATGGCCTTATTTAACCTGAAACGAAGCTTGCTTTCTTTCTTGTCCTTGCTGTTTTGTTTACGGTTGGATTTCACTTTCCTAGTTTTCGTCCATAAAAAATAAATCGTTTCAAATTATACCGTCTTCATAGTTAATGTGGTTAAACTGCTTTCCAAGTGTTTTTTCTTCGAATCACATTCGTAAATGGTTTTTTGTTTTGTTTATTTTTGTGTTTTGCTGTTTCCATTACAAAGTTTGCTTACATTTGACTGTAAAATTACGCCTTTTGAACCGTGGTCCATCACAGAAAATAACGTACCGGCAAAATTTTTTTTGTGCCAATCAAAGCGCGCCATTTATCCGGAAGTGACTCTTGCCATATAATAAGTCACTATGGTACACAAGTTTTTGCTTTGCATTCTAAAAGTTTCGCTTAGAATGAATCGAGCGATTGAAACGAGAAATTGCTGACAAAACAACCTTTCGATGTTTTCCAAGAAAGCGACAATGAACGGTATTCTTCATTTTGTCCGACTATCGCCGACGATTACGACTGACACTCCGATTTACGGACAGAAGAGTAATTTAGCAAACGTCATCAAATTTTCGTAGGGGTTTTGCGTCTAGGACGCCAGTATTTCGTAAAATATTTTTAAGTTATCAGACCTTTTAGGACTTCATCAAAGAATTGTATGAAACAAGTTTTATCTATTTCTGTATTTTCCTGCTGGATCGTTTTTTTCTATCATTTCAAATTAATTTTTTGATTCTAAAAATATACTGCAATGTATTTATTTCGATAAAAAATCTAAATAAAAGAAAAAATATCCGTGGTGTTGTGACTAAAATTTTTTTGACTCTTAGGAAACCCCCCTCCCCCCGAACTTAGAGTCGACCCCGCGTTGTTTGTTTTTTGTTTGTTTTTTTCACACTTTAGGAAATAAGACATTGGCGGTTTTTACTTAAGTAAATGTATGTAGCCCTATAGCTATAAACTTTTAACTTGCAAATGTTAAGGATAATTACCTTATTTTTATTCAGTAATTGAATTTGTTTCATCTGTCATCGATAAGACATTGAATTGTATGTTTTCACGTCAAAATTGTCAACAGCCATGTTAGGGTGAGATCCGGACAGAAAAATATATTGTTAAGGCTGCATACCGAGTTAAGTTTTGAAACTGAGAGAGATATTTTCCCATCCTGACCGACCTAAACAGTAAATAACATATTAATTTTTTTGCTGAAAGGAACAATCATATTCGATTGTTTAGACAGATTGAACGATGGCGGTCATGCAAGTAAACAATTAAAACTTTGCTGTTCGTTTTGCTTTTGAAAACTCGAAACATAGTTTGGTTATTAAAAAATACTTTTTTTACTCAGTATTTAGCTATAGGATTCCGGACCGCGGTCATGCACCGTAAAATTGGACTTTAACTGCAGGAGGATTCCCAAGTGCCGTCAAATATTGTTAAAGTCCGCCAGCTGCTACAGCAAATCAGATTGCAATAAAAAGAGATTTTGCATATCGTGTAATTTCACGTGCTTGTCATTTTTTCGTACAGATGAAATCAAGAGAAGAAAGAAATCTGTCTTACATTCGTTCAATATTCATTGTGGTTCAAAAGAAACTTGTTCAGTTTTTCATCGAACAATGGAACTATCATTACAAATATAAATATGGAGAATGGGATGACACAAACATCAGTGGAAACAAATTTTACGATATAGAACGTACAAGAGGTCCAAGGCTTCCTCGAAGAATAGGAATGAATTATCGCGATGGAGACACCAGTAAGTGGGACAATGCAACATTATTCGATGCTATACTTTTTTCAAAATCTATTGGCAGACATCTTGATAAAAACACAAAGGATGCTGTTCTTGCACTTCGTGCTGAAAGAAAGGAATACGTACATTCGTTTAAAAGCGAATGCTCAGATGATGATTTTGATAAAATAGTCTGTAACATTGAATATTCATTTAAGCAAATGCTATTTTCTCTCGATGAAATCATTGAAATAAAGGCTGATCGAAGCAGTTTTAATTCCTTTCAAGTTCTTCCTTCTAAACCTAATCATTTTCTCGTTGAACGCACAGAATTACGAGATCAAATTATAAAAGATCTTGAAATATTAAGGAATTGTAACAATAATGAACTAACATATTTCTACATCTCTGGTAATCCTGGCAGTGGTAAATCTCAACTTGCAAGACAGGTTTGTGAAAAAATATTTTGTGATTGGAAAAATAAAACTTCGTTTGTAATGACTCTTGATGGAAAGAATGAGGAATCTCTTTTAAAAACTTACTGTGAACTTGGATACAAATTAAACTGTGACAAATTTATGACTACAAAAATTGAACATGAAAAGTATTCCATCACAGACAAAGTGAAGAATTTGCAATCATTACTATCCACTCGAATAACATTCTGGCAAAATTGGTTGATTAGTGTTGACAACGTGGTACAGCTCAAAAAAATTTCTTCGTTACTTCCCCAAGTTGGTGATCCCATGTGGAGAAACGGACAAATCATAATAACTATCGAGAACACAGATGCCGTACCTCAAGACGATGAGTTTAACAAACATATTTCTATCAGAAGTGGAATGAATGATGAAGAATGTTGTCAGTTGTTGAATCATTACACTAAAGATGAAAATGCTACTGATCAATTGTTGAATGAAGTATCGCAAGAATTAGATCGTCAACCGCTGGCTTTGGCTGCTGCTGGTTATTACGTGAGTCGTGTAAGCAGAGTAAATTGTTCATTTACTTGGAGTCAATATTTAGTGAAATTATCTTGTGGAGAACAAAAAGACATGGACGCAGATTTTGTTGAATTCAACACGGTATATTCCAAAAGTATGTTACAAGCTACACTTTCAGCTGTTAGACGAAATGCTAAAATGTCTTCAATCTTTGCCAAGGTTATTAGTTTTTTCTCCATGATATCGTTTGATCCTATACCACGTGATATCATTGCTTCCTTTGTTCAAAATATTGATCCCAGCTTTTCTTTCAATGATATTTGTTTGCACTTAGAGGACTGTTCTTTGTTCTTGAATTCAGAAAATAATGACACTAGTTTACATCGCATTGTTCACAAAGCAATTGTTGTTTATCAATCTGAACATTCAAATGATGAATATAAAATGGAAATCAACGTTGATCAAACATCTAAAGCACTTTACATGTTTAAAAAAAGAGACGACGAAATCAAATTGATGCCCCATCTTGAAATATTTCTTCAAACATTAAAGACTAACAAAATAAAAATCGACATGAATACTTTACAAGTTTTCATATATTTTGTTGAGCAATTAAGACATTTTGGAAAATACGACCTTGCTCTTGAGCTATTGGATAGATTTGAATCAGAAGATTCTGATTATGACAAAGCTTGGTATTTTAGTATTCTCGGTCTTTTATACCATGACACTGGGAAGTATAGCAAAGCTAAAAATCACCTTGAAAAGGCTCTGGAAATTCGAAAACAATCGTTACGTCCAAATCATGTTGATGTTGCTTGGTCTTTAAACAATCTTGGTATGGTGTTTAATAAAACTGGAAAGTACGACAAAGCTATGAAGTTTCACGTAAAAGCTCTTGATATTCGAAAAGAAGCGTTAGGTCCAAATCATGTTGATGTTGCTGCGTCTTTCAACAATCTTGGTTTGGTGTATTATGAAACCGGAAATTACGAGAAAGCTATAGAATTTTACAAACAAGGCCTGGAAATTCAAAAACAATGGTTAGGTTTAAATCATGTTGATGTTGCTGGGTCTTTAAACAATCTGGGTAATGTGCTTGAAAAAACTGGAAAGTACGACAAAGCTATAGAGGCTCAAGAAAAAGCTCTGGAAATTAGAAAACAATCGTTAGGTCCAAATCATGTTGATGTCGCTGCGTCTTTCAACAATCTTGGTTTGGTGTATTATGAAACTGGAAACTACGACAAAGCTATAGAGTTTCAAGAAAAAGCTCTGAAAATAAGAAAACAATCGTTAGGCCCAAATCATGTTAATGTCGCTGCGTCTTTCAACAATCTTGGTAATGTGTATTATAAAAGTGGAAAGTACGACAAAGCTATTGAGTTTCACGAAAAAGCTCTAGAAATTAGAAAACGATCGTTAGGTCCAAATCTTGTTGATGTCCCAACGTCTTTAGAGAATCTTGTTGTGGTGTTTTATGAAACTGGAAATTACGAAAAAGCTATAGAGTTCCAAGAAAAGGCTCTGCAAATAAAAAAACAATCGTTAGGTGCAAATCATGTTAATGTTGCAGAGTCTTTAAAAAGTCTTGCTGTTCTGTTTAATAAAACTGGAAACTACGACAAAGCTAAAGAGTTTCACGAAAAGGCTCTGGAAATAAAAAAACAATCGTTAGTTCCAAATCATGTTGATGTCGCTGCGTCTTTAAACAATCTGGAAAGGATGTCTTATGTTTCTCTGTCATCAACATATTTTGGTAAGTTTGTAGGTATTATATACAATATAATGTTGGTGGCTCATTAACGATAATTATATTTTGTTAAAGTGCAACTCCGACCGAATTTCACCCCATCTTTTTTTCACCAAATGAAAAATATAGATTCTTAGAAACATTTTGGTGTATGTTTGAGCATTTTTGGTTGGTATAAGTTGTTTAATTTTAACGCTAAAGCTCGACACCGGATGCGAATTTTCACAAATGGATCGTGACTTCATAAGATGTTCCCACCTCGCTAGTTTATTATATTACTATAAACAAATGCCAGAATGAAGCATTAATATTGTTAAGTTTTGTGTCGAAAAACGTGTTTTATTTCGCAAAATTTGGCAAAAGTATCAAAACGATAACTATCAATACAAATATTGGTTAATAAATCTTTGGAGGAGGTAATTTTGTCATAAAGTTCATCAACGAAGTTTGTTAACGCTGACAGCCATAATGAATATAATAGTAGTCAAATGTATTCTTCCGTTCTTGTACTAAATGTTGGACACTTCGATTATTAAAATAAGCTTGAAAATGTGTAACTCTTGACGATGAAGCTTTCTGCATTGATGTCTCGACTATAGGTGTTGTTGTAACTTGTAATTGTCACAGAGTTGCTGAGAATATCATAACTATTAACCATATTCTATATACAGACATTACTGAACTGGAGAATCAGCTTTTTAGAGAAAATATACTGGCACAAAGTCATGCATCTATCAAGTCAATAGGTACATTAATGGCTAAGGCAATAGTATTAATGTCAAATTTAATTCAGTTTTTTGTGTCAAACTCCAACTATTTAAGATTGTAGCTTGTTGATGGCTTTCATTATGTTTAAGTCGGCTGAGAATTTGTATAAATTTCATAGTATAATACGAAAACATTTGGCCATAATGAATTGAAAATCCTAGATTTAAGTGGTACATTTCCATACAAATTGTTTTATGTGAGGACTGGGTTGTTCATTTTGGTTGTAGACAAACAAAAGAGCCAAAGCAATAATTAAAACGCATTTGGGATTCATATTTACATTAATCAACCAAAAGAATAATTCAAAAATCTACCTATAAACTAAAAACATCTACATAAAACCCGCTCTAAAGAACAGTGAGATGGAAACAAAACATTTTAATCAAAAAAACATTGCTCAAGATATATAACAGCTATAAACTCATTGTTAGTTGTAAGATTCAAATACAACATTGCACAAATTTAGAGATAATAATATTCCTTACACCTGGTGTCTATTTCAAAGTGACTCAAGAATTAAAGGATACATGCAAGCTAGAAGACAACTTTATTTTATTGTAATGCGTATAGTGTGAAAATAAGACGTACCAAGTTTCAAAGTCGTCCGCAAAATATTTCAAAAGATATTTAGGGTTATAATCGGTAAAAACACGTTATTCGATGACCATTGCTAAAACGCCGTGAGATTGTTTAAGTCTGGGAACTGGGAAAGAGTGACGTATCAGTGACATAAACAAGCATCGTTCTTATATCGTTCTACGACTTGCACGCAGTGTTTGCACGGCTTTCGGTAGTTTGCTATTACTTTTTTTTTATTTAACAAAAATTAATGGATTCTTCTGAAGAAGATGCCGATTATGATATTGTCATCAATAACAATGAGGTACAACCTTACATGTTTGATCTTTTGGCCAACGCGCAAGGTGGTCATAGTAATGACAATTCTTCGTCATCGGAAAGCGAAGATAAATACATTCACAGAATTGGGAATGTTGAATGGTTAGTTGCATTTTATTGATGTTTCATTGTTTTTCCCAAAGTAAAAAAATTTTTTTATTTTTTAGGTGCGAGTGTGGCTTTTGTGTGGTGATGAGTACTGGACGGGAAAGTATATGTTGCCAAAAGGTAAACAACACTGATCATCTCATACATGGCGATCATATTTGCATCACACAAGAGGAAGAGTTTGCCACAGTCTGTACAAATGAAGCTGTCGTAAAAACAGTTATGGTCTTGTGCACACATGACATTGGACCTATGCCTGAGAGTGAAGAAAACGAGTGAGAGTCTGATCCATTGTAGCTATTGCTCATCGTCGACGTGCTTTCTGTATCAGACAATACAGCGCTATCCTCAAAATGCTCAATTTCACATGACGTCGTTTGTGTGCTGTGATTTTTTGTTGAAATTAACTCAACCTCTGTACCTTAGCATAGAATTATCGTATTGCTGGATTTTTCACAAAAATCAAAACGACCGAAACGGAAAGTCAATACCTCTACTTAACATATTTGGCACTTTTGTTTGAGTGATTCTTGACCTTACGTGTTTTTGCGGACGGATTGTTATGTCTGCTTGTCATTTCACATTGCGCTTCTAAGGTACAAGGAATTTTCTATGAGTTGAAATAACAAAGAAAAGATCAAACGACATTAGTCTGAATTAGTTACCACTGTATATGTTTGTGTTTCGCTGTCTACATATATTTTGACATCTTTTGTCTTAGACAAACTTCCTTTGAGGTAAAACGCACAAACATTTCGAGCCGATGTCGACACATCGTGGTCGTCGTCTACAAGAAAGTCGTCATGTTCTGCAAGAACGTCGTCAATAATCTAAAATTATAAAATTGTCCTCAATTTGGTAATGCTAATAGCTTAGTTTTTGATAAAAGCAAACAAATATTGCT